TCTTTCCCTTTGTGTTTGTCATTTTGGTTAATTACTGGAAGATGGCAGTTCCGGCCAAAAGGAAGCCAGGCCCAAAAATCTTGAAAAGAGAATGTAAGAGAAGGGATTGGTGTGGTCATTTCCCCTGAGGGGGAATGTCTGTCTCTGGTGATCACACTTGCTGCATAGCAAAATAAAAAAATAAAGAAATTTTGTAAAGAAATTGCCTCTTCTTAAAATGAATCACATGAAATCAGAGCAGTGTGGGGCAATGTGGAAATGGTCATCACCATATGCAGAGTAGTACAGAAAGGAACTGAGAGATAAAACTACTCAATACTGCAGAAATTTGTGATAATTTTCTGAGATTTAAAGGCAGGAAGTTATTTGAAAAAAAAATAGTGGTGCCATTTTAAGAGGCAGAATCTTGAGTTATTTATCTATTTATTTTCTTTTTGGCATTATGAAATTTTAATTGTTGAATATTCTTATTATATTGCACTGAAAAATTATTGCAAAGATCCTGTTAATCCCAATTGAGAGAGGCAATGCAGACAAAGGTTTTACTGAAAGATACTCTCCAAAGATGTCACTTGAATATTTTTATTGCTATTATTTTGGTCATATTCCTGGCCAAGTAGCTTAGGACCAGACTTAGAAAAAACTGAGACGTCTTTGGGAGTCCTTACTAAGATATTCTGATTTTTAAAATATTTTTCCCCACATAACTCAACAAGTCATTTTTTGGAATTTCTTGGCAATCAGAATCGAGGGAATCTCAGCAATAAAAACTCCAAGTGGTGAAGATAAGATTAAAACATATCTTAAAAAATAGTTTCACTTGATACTCTGCAAGTTTATATTAAATGATTGAAGCTCAGCCCTGTTGTCTGCATCCTTCTATTCTGAAATTGGATGGAAGATTTCAGTAAACCCTCTATTATAGCAATAACTGTAATTTTTTTTCTTTTTTTTTAAAAAATATTTGCCAGGGGGTATGTGTGCTCATGAGAGAGAAAGAGAGAGAGAGACGCCCCCCCCACCCCATGAGCAATAGTGTTGCTTTAATTCCTTCTCCTCCATCTCTCTCACCTCTTGAGATTTGAAGCACACATGCGCAAGTACTGGGCATGTTTCTCAAAAGCCACTGTATCTAGGATGTGAACTGCACAGTTGGCCATGTGGGTTTCACTGGCCCAACCATGATACTATGGACTGGCTCAACTGTACTATTTTTTTCTGGCATGACTAAGTCAAAATCCAAACCAAGAAACACTCAAAATATTTATTCAATTTCATTGTATAGCCATATCCAGATTAAAATATTTTTATTAGTGCTGTAATTAGCTGAATAGACTTCATGGTCAAGTTTATATTTTTTGGATGTTCAAGGAGCTTATACTAAACCATTTTAACCAGCTGAGAAACTTTCTGATGGGTTGACATTCCAACAACCTGAGACTCACTCTGCATTGCGAATTCAGCAGCAAAAACTAAGGAGTCAATTTGATTTTATCTTTCTGTTCTTGTGGCATATGTGGCACAGGACTTAAAGGTAAGTTTAGAACCAACAGAACCAATAAAATATAGTGAGAGTAACATGCATATTTATTGTTTACTTGTACAAACAAAATCATGGATAGATGAGGCAGGTCTTAGAATCAGACCAGCTCAAATGCAAGGCTCAAAATGAATCACAAATAAAGGTGTGCACAAGAGGATGCCCAAGAGGATAGAAGGGGCAGGAAGCATACCCTGAAGAGACTGAACTCTGGAGTAGAATTTTAGATTGGTCTAGAGGGAGACCTTGGGCTTTTTAAGGGCAGAGATGAAGGAAGGACATTGCAATAAAAGGAAATTGAATAACCAAAACCATGGATGAAGGGGAAATGAATATAGCATAGGGATAGGTACATCGGATTGGCTAAAGATGAGGCTATAGGTTAGAGATACCTAGAAAGATAGGTTGGGGCTAACATGGATTGTCTTAAATGCTATAGTGCAAATGTGAGCAGCAGTGGGAAGCTTTGAGAATTTTGAGCCCAGGAACATGCTCGGGATTTGTTCTGGGAAGATAAATAGGCAGAGCCATATAGGGTGAATTAGCATTGAAGGACTAAGGCCCAGAGGCTTTGTGATAATCCAGGCAGGAACAGGAAGACATGTGGGAGGAAGTGAGGGGAAGAGACACAGTAAATACAGAGATTGACAGGGCTGGGGGCTGGGAGAAGAGTTCAAACTGGGTAGGGAGGGAAACAAGACAAGAGCGAGGCAGACAGAAAACACTGTGAAGTTCAGTGCCAGGCTGTGAGGGAAGAAGGCTTCTGTGGAGATGATAAAATGGGTATATTCTGGTTCTAGCGCTGAGAGTTTACCTTTATGAAACACTTCATCACAGCCGTTCTTCCAAGTGCTTTACATGGAATTCCTCAGCTAATCCTGGTCACAGTGAGGTGCATATTTTTTATGATTCCCATTTTACAGAAGAGGACATTGACACTAAGAGAGGGCCAGGCACTTGACCAAGGCCTCAGGGAGGAAGTGGAAGAGATGGGACTGGAGCCCAGTTCTATTTCATTCCCAAGTCCACCCTCTGAATTACAATGTGCTTCTACTACTAATGAATTATGTGGTTATCTGAGGATTTACAGTCAAATATGTGTACTTGATCTTACTTCGTATGTAGTCAAATTTGAATTCCATACACGTAGATTTGTGTATTTGTGTATGTATTTATAGTAAGTGTATAGATGTATGTAATTATTGTTATTTGCTTTTCATTAGTTACTTTTTCTATCATAGTTTCATGGACTATAACACCATAGAAAGGAATAATTTCCATGTTGTATCCTGCCAGGGACAAAACCGTGTTCATGACCATGTGGGGGATTGATTTGAGATCTTCTGATTGAAGGTGTCAACAGAGTGCCCAGATTTGTCATCCCCTAGTGATCTCACAGTGGCATTTTTCTTTTCAGCAGATGATGAATGAGATACTTTCATTATAATCTTGCCTGGAAGCAAAAATATTTCCCCTTCAGATTCACTGATCTTTATCATTTCAGCTACCTTGGTAGAGGCCACAAATAATACTTTTTTAAAGTTCATCCCAGAATATAACTATAACTAAGAAATGAGCACAAGTCCACCCACTCATCTTACATGCCTGCTGTTGAGAGAGGAAGGTGGTTCATCTAAATTTGAAACAATATTTGGTTTGAGAGGAAAAGCTTGAATATTGAAGCTGAGTGAACCAAGTAAAAAGGAATGGTTTTGTCTTGTGAAAGTACAGGTCATGCATGTGTATTTGAAAAGTTAGTCTTTTTTATACTCATCTCTTCCATGTTCCAAGCCAGAAATCAATGTGTTAACAAGAGCCAGAACCTCCTATCTACAATTTTTCCCTATGTAGTGCTCTTGCAATTGAAGCATCTTATAACTGGTGGACTCAGTCAGTGAAATATAGCAGTCCTGCTGTTTATTGATTTTTAATTTTAATTGCGAGAGGCACATGTGCTCATCAGAGAAACAGA